CTGACATTAGAGCATGGTCCGGACTTCCTTGACAATTGCTTTTGGTTCCTCTTCACTTGCGAGTAACTTAGCATTCATAGCTACGCATAGGATCACCCCCTGTTCACTACTAGCGAGTTTTACCTTTTGAACAGTGAACACTGACAAGGGAGGCCTTTCAAGGTGTGGAATACTATTCAACGGTTTTCTGCACCCTATCAACTCATGAGTGGATTACAAAGCCGAGATTCAGTTCTGCTGAGAGTCCCGTGAAGGCCAAAAAGTGGTACGGAAATGGTCGAAGTTTCAATTGCCGCAAGAGTAAATTTTTGCATTGTAGTTTGGAGCCCCAGATCTGCACCAATTAGACCACAGTAGTGTCACTGGTGCGGCTGATGTCAGTGGTGTCAGTGTCAGTGTTTCTTACCAGGATCGTCAGTAACCATTAAAATTAGATTTTTACCGAAAGCCGGAAGAAACCACCCAATCCAAGCAAAATTTTTTAGGGTTGAGGGGCCGCTCAGTAAGAGTACTGTTTTCAGTTCCCAATAATACAGTTTTGCAGTCCAGGTGAGAGCAGCTACAGCATGCAATAAACCGTTTCGGAAAAGCGCTCCACGTCGTGAAAACTCCTCGTAAAGGAAGTGGTTCCAACGTCCATCTATACTACCAGTGACGTCTCCATTTCACCGTGTTCATTGCCTTTAAAGTTAACGGATTTTTAAACCACTATTTCCCCTACAAAGGAAACTATGCAGAAATACTGTACCTGTACGTAATGCAGCTGGCAGCAATATGAAACTTCACCATTTGCATTTTCACCTTTCCCTTTCGTGACATTGCGGGAACAGTTTGTATTAGTTTCAGGCCCTTTGATGAGATCTGCAAATTTTTTTTGCATTCGTGAGCAGTGTGAGGATTTTTTCAACATTAAGAATGTTACCTGCACGGTCGCTTTGTTGGGTGTCTTCTTGAAGGTATCTTTCAGAAGTTGGCGCATTATTGGCAATACCACCTGAATTTGAACGCGAGAATTTTCAGTTCCGGGCTAATCTGCTCAAGAATGGATTTTTTCACATCTACACCTCCCCTCCCACCGCTTTGAGTTTTGTCTGATATTTGCATTAGGCTGAAACTCTTTGTGCACTCACCGATGATCCGCGTACACCATCGGCTTCTTTTGAGCCGAGATACCACACATAGAAGTGTGATTTGGCTATCTTCGACTGGAACCAAGACATCTCAACCCATTATCGATTTCCTCTTCAGGAGACTCCCAAAATGCAGTACTGAAAGTCAAGTGTTTAGGAAGTGCCTTTCACGAATTATACAGCACGAGATTTGATAATGGTCTTAACACCTTCACGGATGAAGAAAACCAGTGACCGTGAAAATTAGCAATAACTAGTAAAATTACAGTACTTAGTTGGTCGGTGAATTAACAGATTAATAATTCAAAACTTCATCGTCGAGAGGGAGTCATGTCATTGAAGATTCACCAATCTTATAGCAAACCCTTGATCGAAGGAAGCCGTTCGGCTGTTCAGAGCTGGATGAGGTTCCACTCAAGAGCAGAAAGGTTCATAGAAGAGATGACAATGAGACACAGATGATGTAACCTCACGAAGAATATGACACCAAAAAGATAAAATATGATTGTGTGATAAAAAGATAAAGGTGGACGGTATTAGGGCACTTCAGAAAAAAATTTTATGATAGCAGTAACGGCACCAGAACAAGTACGCTACCACAAATTCAATGGTGGACGGGCGAGAGTTTCGAAAGCTAAAAGCTGACGCATTTGAAGGAGCCACTGCTCTACGCGTATCTTTGCCATTCGTTCCAAGGATTATGGCGCATCAAATCTCTTGGGGAGCTTGTTCTTGACGCCTTTGTACATATATGAACCACATATCGACCTCTGGACGCTAAATTCATGTGGGCACAAAAGGTTTCTATCCCCACAGGGCAAATCGCCATTTTTGTATTCGAGATGCAGCATTGCAAAAAATTCTGTCCACATTCTCCATTGGAGAAGGCATGGGTTGCTTTCAGTAAAACGGTTCTATGGCCCTTCTGAGCCTTTTATCTTCACGGAGCTTGGTTGACTGGTGCGGAGATTTGCTCCAAACCAGAACATTATATCTATGCTCAAACTCTATGCTCATGACTTTTACCCCTTCCCTACCGCTTTCTTCCACCACAGCTCAGTTTACATTATAGCTAAAGGGCAGTGTTCAAATCCCTATAGCTCCGACTCCCTATGAGACCCCCTAACAGATTAGGGAGAAAGTTTCAAGTGGTGGCGGGTCTGGAAGAAAAATTTCCAACACCGATGCTTAACCCTTATTTTTCTGTGTTGGGTCAATCTTTGGGAAAATTTGAGTAAACGTCGAGGTTCAAGTGATGTGTGGAGATTCCTCAAGGAAGGCCATGGTGCTACAGAAGCACACGAGGACTGGACGCAGTATTTCACAAAGGCGGCCCAATTAATGAAAAACTTCTCGCGTTCCTAATCTCTTGAACAATCGCGATAGCGAGGAGTTGACCGTTACTCCAGCTGATAGCCATGAAACCAAGATTCTATGGTAACTTTAGTTTTCCTTAAACTTCTCAAACCGAGAATGATAGCTTCGTCAGAAGAACTCGACGGCCTCAACGAATTGCTCACATTGTCAGACACATTCGCTAAAGATACGACTGCTCAGAAATTTGCTCAGGAACTCCTCGTTTTTATGGTTGACCGGTTGAAAAATTATGCGTGTCACTTACTCTCTGAAATCTGAAGATTCCGTATTTGAGCTCAAAGTAGCCTCTGCGCCAAAAAATCTCATCGAGTGAGCCGTATGGGACAAATGTTATGAACTAAAAGCAAATACCGTAGCGAAGTACGAGTTTCTGAAAAGGAAGGAATTGGCGCGATTAGGGTGTTGAAGAAGGACATATTACGTAGTGGAAAGGCGAGCGGCCCCCCTAGGGATGTTGACGATCTAGTGTGGCCGTCCCGCGCCACTAGCTCCTCGGGTCCGCCGATAGGTATACCTAGCCGTCCGACTGTAGCCTTTCAGCAGAGACAGAGAGAGCGTTGACGTTGAAGAGGGCAGCACCGATGAAAGTCGCCCAACGCGCAAATCGGCGGGTAAAAGGGGTTCCACTTTTGGGGCTCTGTGCCGTTCCTAATGGTTTTTCGTCATTCCTGCACCACTGACCACCTGTACCTTGATTTCTTCTGGGCTGCCTTTCATCGTAAACTCAGCCTTCAAAGACAAAGTTCAGGATTTCCGGATGCTAAAGATGAAGCTTTTGTGCGAGGAACATGTGATAGAACGCAAACGCCCCCCTGACACACGACTTATCAAGGCTGGGAGTGAGAGATGGGAAGGATCATCATATGTATCCGTCCCATCAACGCACATTTACGTCCGCGAATAAGTGATGTATTGCTATGCTTGTACGGGAGCGGAGAGGCTTTATTTTAGCATTGTCTGACGATTCTTCCACTGTTTTTATTACTGATGTTACCCTTAACAGCATGCACTTTACCGGGCTTTGCTTTAACAGAATTCACGAACGAAAATGATGTTCATAGAATTAAAGTTTAGGAAGTGGTAAGGAGCAGGTGGCGAAGAAACCATGAGAAAGGTTCCGGAGCCGGAGAAATTGACAACCGCTTCCTGATGGTTCGCACTGGATGCGACTCTCATCGTGCCCTCTTCAACGCTAAGCGCTCTCTGCTATGTCGGTGGGCGTACCGCCACCAACTGCGCCAAGAGTGAGCCATGCTAGATCGCCGAGGTCAAATCTTTCGCTGCCAATTGCGCGTCGTCTGCACCCTCAGGAGGTCCGCCTGCCTCTTCGACCTTCGTTTTCAAAGGGCGATTCACGCTGAAAAAGGCAACCCATTTCAAATTCACCTAGGGATGGTGTGATACACGAAAGAAGGAAAACCATGAGAAACGGCCCAGAACCCGAGAAATGGGACCCCTTCCTTGCCCGTTGATTCGAGCATTGATGCGACTCTCATCGCTGTGCCCTCTTCAACACTACGCTCTCTCAGCTATCTAATCACTCGCCACGTATTGAACTACGGCGAGTGATCAGATGATCGGTGGGCGGAGATCGCCGGACCCGCCAGCTTTGAGGCATGATAGGTCGCCGAGGTCAAATTTTTCCATGCGAATTGCGCGTCAGTTCGCACCCTCAGGAGGTCCGTGGGTCCCTCAACTAGTCAGTTTCCCTTTCTTCGACCTTCATTCTAATCGTGAATTCCTCCTTTAACCACCGCCGGTCGACACAACCTACTACGGCATCTCAAGCAGCACATCAGCTTTATAGACAGGTTCGAGGGAAGAATGTGGACGATGGTGTAGGAATATAACAATTCTGTAGGTTATGACGGTACGCCTATGAAAAAAAGCAAATGAAACCGTCAGAAGCGTTTCTGAATTACTTCCTCTTCCGATTGGTACATAGTGAGCTCCCGACAAAATGTTTCGACAAATGTACAAAAAACCAGACCACGGAGAAATGGAAGAGTCGAGGGGCAAGGATGACAAGGAATGCTAACGACAAAATGTTCACTCCAGGACATGAGTTGCATTCATAGCATTAATTCTAGGACTTCCAGGAAGGTCTTTCAGGGCGTGACGAAGCTTTTTGAAAACGGTCTTTTGCATGATATAGGGGCAGATGCGGGAACCACAGAACCATGTTCAATTTTTCCTGAACGGCCTCTGAATACCAGAAAAGGAGGTCCCTAGTTCGATTCCTCGTGGTAACAAATTTTTGCATTTCGAGTTGACGTGCCAAAATTCGCGCAAAATGGAGTTAGAACCAACCAGAACAATCAGAACTCCATTTTGCGCGAATTTTGGAACGTCAACTCGAAATGCAAAAATTTGTCACCAAGAGGAATCGAACTAGGGACCCCTTTTCTGGTATTCAGAGGGCCGTTCAGGAAAAATTAACATGGTTCTGTGGTTCCCGCATCTGCCCCTATATCATGCAAAAGACCGTTTTCAAAAAGCTTGTCACGCCCTGAAAGACCTTCCTGGTAGTTCCAGCTTGATCGAGCAGCGCAAATGCATTCACGAGTAGAGAAAAAAAAAAAACGAAAAAGAGAAACAGCGACGGTGTCCAAATACCAGAAATAATGAAAAGTGATCATTTACATTCGAAAGCGAGTGCTCTTTGCACGCAGTAGGTAAGCAGATTCACTCTCACTGTCAGTGAAACTATTGATAAGCTCGGAACATAAGGAAGAGCCTGAGGCAACTTCAGATATCATTTTAGTTCATGGAGTTATTACCAAGGCAATGGCGCTTAAGAGTGACGGAGAAGGGGGGGGGGGAAGGGAAGGAGAAAGAAGTTGGGCGGAAGGAACCATGTTTTATTCACGATTCCCCGCAAACCGGAACGTATTTTCAAAATGCGCAGAAAAAACCGAATTTACTAAATGCTCATGTTGTCAGACACTCCAAGTAGTCTTCAGCTTTCGACTAGTTTAATTGCAATTGTCGGCTAGCGTCCACTGTCTTTACAGACTCTTCGTAAGATCAGCTTCTCCAGGAAGAAACTGGCTTTTTGGTGCTTTTCCCAGTCTACTTGAAAAATCAGTTTTGAAGTTTTGGACTTTGGACAAGTTGTGAGGTGGAATGGAGGAGGGTTCTCATTGGGCACGTGGCCTGCATATCTAGTGATCTGATGGACATTAAGCGACTTTGGTTGTTGATTCTAGCGCGGATAGCCTTTTTGGTTAGTTTCAATTATGCCTCTTAAATGCGGTCCTGCGTTCTACCTTTGTGCAGCACTCAAATATACGGTGTTCTGCTGAATTTTTTGCCATTATTTTCACGGCTCGGGGGGGAGGGGAGGGCGAGGGGGTACACTATTTCCTTTCTGAAAGCGAAAGCCGATATAAGTACGGAAAAAACTGGGCTGAGGATGCAGCGTATGCTATACGAAGTTATTACGAGGAAGAATGAGGCGCGGGTTTGAATATCGCCTGGGGCGAAAGGTTTCAATCATTACCCTGCATTCTTGTGATAATCATAAGATTATACTCATCGAATTATTCGTAGCTTTATATGATATTGTAGGATTGAAAAAAATTTGGCACTATTTACCCTTTACTGCCCCACTCCTCAAGAACTGAGCCGGATTTTGATCGAAATTCGTCCATGACTGTGGATTTTGCTAGAAACTTGCCTTCAGGGGTAATTTGACCCGTAGATCACGAATA